GGCCAACTAGAGCAAGAAGAGAGAAGCGGCAGTGCCACCCGCTCAAGCCCCCTTCAGCACACCCGAAATCCCAGGATAGGAAACTCCTGCCTTTGGATGGGGAGGCTCTGCCCCACATCCCACCCCCAGCACGGCTCACCCAAATCTAAATCTCCAACGTGACAGAATAACCCCGAAAGAGGAAAGCAGGAGGCAGCAGCCCAGAGCTGGCCCCACGGGGCAGGGTGTGTTCAGCAAGAGGAAAATGAAGGGGAAAGCTTCCACCTGATTTCAGAGTTTTCCATATGGGAGGAAACAGTTTGGGTAACACAAATTGCTGGGAGCTACTGAAGGGACATATGAGGATCAAAGACACCTGCTGTGTTGGTTTGCTGGGGCTGATGTGACAAAACATCACAGACTGGGGCTTCAACAACAGGAGACCACTATAGTCCTGGAGACTGGAAGTCCAAGATCAAGGTGTCTGCAGGGTGGGTTTCTCCTGAGGCCTCTCCTTGGCTGGCAGATGGCCACCTTCTCTGTGTGTCCTCACAGGGACTTTCCTCTGTGTGTGCACAGCCCTGGCGTCTCTCTGTGGCCAAATTTCCTCCTTTGATAAGGATGCCAGTCAGATTGGATTATCACCCACCTTAACAGCCTCATTTTAACTTAATCACTTCTTTAAATAACTTATCTCCAAATGCAGTCACACTCTAAAGAACTGGGGGTTAGGCTGGGCGCGGTGGCTCGCGCCGGTAATTCCAGCACTTTGGGAGGCAGAGGCAGGTGGATCACAAGGTCAAGAGATCGAGACCATCCTGGCCAACACAGTGAAACCCAGTCTCTACTAAAAACGCAAAAATTAGCTGGGCGTGGTGGCACGTGCCTGTAGTCCCAGCTTCTTAGGCTGAGGTAGGAGAATCGCTTGAACCTGGGCGGCGAAGGTTGCAGTAAGCCAAGATTGCGTCACTGCATTCCAGCCTGGGTGACAGAGCAAGACTCCGTCTTAAAAAAAAAAAAAGAAGAACTGGAAGTTAGGGCCTCAACCTGAATTTTGGGGGGCACAATTCAGCCCAAAGAGTGGAGAAGTCAATGGGTCATCTGGAGGGAGGCATCTTAACTACCCACCTCCTTGTGCAAATGCATCATCAAAGTAACTAGTGTTTTCCCCACCAGCTCTATGGACTAGAAGGATGGAGAGCAGTAATTCCATTTGACATGGATCACTTGAATTCAGAAGTTCGAGACCACACTGGCCAACCTGGTGAAACGCTGTCTCGAATAAAAATTCAAAATTTAGCCAGGCACACACCTGTAATCCCAGCTACTCGGGAAGCTGAGGCAGGAGAATCACGTAAACCTGGGAGGTGAAGGCTGCAGTGAGCTGAGATCGATCTCACCATTGCACTCCAGCCTGGGTTACAGAGCGAGACTCCATCTCAAAAAAAAAAAAAAAAAGAAAGAAAGAAGGTACAAAGCAGAAAGAAAAAAGGAAGGTAGTAGGCACTGGGCACAGTGGCTTATGCCTATAGTTCCAGAATTTTGGGAGGCTGACGCTGGAGGATCACTTAGCCCAGGAGTTCGAGACCAGCCTGGGAACATAGTGAGACAACCATCTTTTCAAAATATCAAAACAGTTAGCCAGGCATGGTGGCACATGCCTCTAGTCCCAGCTACTCAGAAGGCTGAGGTGGGAGGATCACTTGAGCCCAGGAGTTTGAGGCTGCAGTGAGCCATGATCATGTCACTGCACTGAAGCCTGGGTGACAGTGAGGCACTGCCTCTTAAGAAAAAAAACCAAAAGGTAACAGTAGCTTAAAACCATAGCCAAGGAAGCTAAAGTCAGTAAATGTTTGTTTAGAAACTAATGATAACATTATCTAACATTATCTTAACATGTCTTTCAGCTGTTTTTCAGAAACACAGACCCCCACCAAATGGATTCAATGGCCTGTAAACCTCAGATAAGGGGAAAATGAAGACTGAACTCTGACCACTGTTCTCTGTTCTAAATTTCTTCCTAAGGGCCCTGGAGGAGCTCACACCCACAAAACACAGCTAATGTTCTTTTTTTTCTTTTTGCAGAGTCTGCTCCGCCACCCATGCCAGAGTCCAATGGCACAATCTTGGCTCACTGCAAGATTCACCTCCCTGGTTCAATTGATTCTCCTCCCTCAGAATCTCAAGTAGCTGGGATTACAGGCACCTGCCACCATGCCCAGTTAATTTTGTTATTTTTTTAGTAGAGACAGGGTTTCACCATGTTAGCCAGGCTGGTCTCAAATGCCTGACCTCAGGTAATCTGCCCACCTTGGCCTCCCAAAGTGCTGGGATTACAGGTATAAGCCACTGCCTGTAGTGAGGCTTTTTTTTTAAAAAAAAAAAAAAGCTTTTTTTCCTTAACCAATTGAATCCACCTGTTGACGGCTGTTTTGAGACCTTCATTGTTGTTTCCTTAATTTAAAATTATTTATTTTTTGGGGGGATGGAGTCTCGCACTCTCGCCCAGGCTGGAGTCAGTGGCGTGATCTTGGCTCACTGCAACCTCTGCCTCTCAGGCTCAAGTGATTCTCCTGCCTCAGCCTTCCGAGTAGCTGGGATTACAGGCGCACACCACCACACTTGGCTAATTTTTGCATTTTTAGTAGAGACAGAGTTTCACCATGCTGGCCAGGCTGGTCTCGAACTCCTGACTTCGTGATCCACCCGCCTTGGCCTCCCAAAGTGCTGAGATTACAGGCATGAGCCACCGCACCCAGCCTAAAATAATTTATTAATAATCCAGAGACATACAGAAAGGAGATGCAGCATAGGGCAATTTATTGCAAAGAAAAAATATTTTGTTTGTTTGTTTTAAGACAGGGTTTCAACCTTGTTGGTCAGGCTGGTCTTGAACTCCTGACCTCAGGTGATCCGCCTGCCTTGGCCTCCAAAGTGCTTGGATTACAGGTGTGAGCCACCGCGCCCAGCCAGAAAAAATATTTTGAAAGTGAGGTGTAGAATGGACAGTACACCCTGAGAGAGGATTCAGGGCGGGCTGCTCATAAGGATGAGACAGGAAAGACCAGCACGGGGGAGCCTCCCTTTATGGAAGC